TAGGAGCACCTGGCAGAAAGACACATGAGCCCAGGTAGGACATACAAACCCCATGCAGGTGGTGTCTTTGGTGGGAGTTGAACCCGGGACCCCTACTGGGTAAAGTAAAAAAAAAAGTTGCTGGATTTTCACTATGAAATTGAAATTTGTGTCGCCGAGAACTCATCAAAATGGCCTAATGTAGGAAAACAATCAAAAACACAAATATTGCGCAAACAGAAGACAGCTGTTAACACTTCAATAAAAGGGTAAAATATTGTTACCAAATAAAAAAAAAAAGGAGAGACAGACTCGTACGGCGGGCAGACCAGATGGACCCGTAATTTATATTTCTTCAATCAAATTCTATTTTTCTGCCATGAAATTCTATTTTTTTTTCCTCCTCCATCCCTAACCGGCGTATCGGCGAGTCTCCAGCTGCTTCCAAACTGCTAATGAGTTAAGATATTAATTTTTTTTCCGCGTTCTGTAAGCGCGCAACAATCCGAGCGAGGCATAAAATAAAGATTTAAGCGCGGGGAAGGGGGAGGAGTAGCGGGACGTTTGGGTGATGCACGGTGGCAGTGGGCATATGTTTACCATCTGCGGAGCAGATGATGTAAAAAAAAAAATAACAGATGTGGCTCATAAAACACGACATCAATTTTGCCACGTCCCCGGTAACTCGTATGGTTTAGCAGACATGACGCGAACGTGTGAGGACCCATAAAAGGGGAGGCGTGTCAGGAGACTGCCAATTAAAGTTGTAATGTGTTAAAAAAAAAAAAAAAAAAAAAAAATAAGATAAAAACAAAAAGAAAATTGCTGACAAAATTAACAATAAAAATCTGTACAAAGCGACCCCCCTCTCCTGGTGGTTCACCCCATCCATTCATTCTCTTCTCCTTCTACATTATAGAAATGTGATTTTAATCTTTCGATTTTTATAAAAGCTTTATTTAGGATGTACTTGAATTCTTATTTCACTTGCTGCCAAATTGGTTTGTCTATTTTCAGAATCAGCAGTAGGGAGGACCTGAATTCTAATGAAATTTTGGTAAAATGCATTGGAGTCAATGGTAAGGCTGAATGAGGGTGCTTTTTTTGGTGGTTTCTAAGGGTGCAATGAGGTTTAAATGGCTCCTTGGATTAGTCCAGTTTATTTTAAATTATCCTGAACCCTTGTGCCAAAAAAATGGACCCTCGTGAGCTGGAGACATGACCTTAGATAGTGAAGAACAGTGAAACCCTAACCACAATGCTAACCCTAACCACAATGCTAACCCCTAATTCTAACCCTAACCACAATGCTAACCCTAATTCTAACCCTAACCACAATGCTAACCCCTAATTCTAACCCTAACCACAATGCTAGCCCTAATGCTAACCCTAACCACAATGCTAACCCTAATGCTAACGCTAACCACAATGCTAACCCTAATTCTAACCCTAACCACAATGCTAACCCTAATT